AACGAGCTGGGGGGCGTCGGGGGCATATCGCCTTGCGGGCCTGGAGGTGAGCAGACGTGGGCTGCCCTGCCTGTGGTCCGAGATGCTGTTGCCGCCGCGCCTCTGCCGAAGGAGCGGCTCGCCCCGCGCGAAGCCGTTCCAGCGCTTCTGCGCGCAGGCGCTCGCTGCGGAGACAGCGAGTGTGCTGGGAACATTGCGCCGTTTGGCTCGGCGCCCGTTTCCTTGCCGAGTCGCGACCTGGTCGGGGTGAACATCTACAAGGTCTCGCCTCGGGCTGCGTCGCACATGTTCACGCGGCTTCGCGACACCATTCTCTTCAGCGACGAGGAGTATGCATTACGTATCAAGAATGAGGGGCTGCCCAACCTGCACTTTGACCCAGTGCTGGAGGCGCATCCTGCGATGTGGGAGGGATTATGGCGAGAATTGCGTGACGGGGGCCTGGTGCGATGGGCCCGCACCCACGAGGAAAGGGTTGGTATGTTTCTTGTTTGCAAGAAAAGCGGTGAGTCGCGACTCATATGCGATGCGCGAAGGAGCAACATTCGTTTTGATATTCCAGACACCCTTCAACTCACAACTGGGGACACGCTCAGTCGCTTGGAGGCCGCCCTAGGTCAAACCTTATACACAGCCAGCTTCGACATCAAGGATTACTTCCATGAGCTCAGGATTGACAAGGAGCTGTCCCAGCACTTCGCGCTGCCACCGGTGCGAGCGTCGGCGGCGGAGCCGGACGAGTTCATCTACCCTGCGCTCCGATGGAGCTCTCGTGGGCCATGTGGGCTGCCCAACTGGTACATGAGGAGCTCCTACTTCGCGCCGGGCTTCCTCCTGCCCGGCTCCTGCGAGACGGCGCGCCGCCGCCCGTCCTGGATGTGGGAGCTGCGCACTTGGCGTACGTTGACAACTTTGGGGTCGTTGGCAGCGACGAGAAGGAGGTGCGAGAGCTACACCGACAGGCGCTCACTGGAGCACGGCAGGCAGGCTGGCAAGTTCACGGGGTCGAGCAGGTCAGCACATCAATGGACATCGTTGGCAGGCACTTTGACGGCCAGAGGCAGGTCGTCGCCTGGCGCTTCTACGCGGGGCTCCATGCCCCTGTGCGACGAAGCCGTTGCACGGGCAGGGAGACGTGGGCTTTGCGCGGGCACCTGTGCTTCGCGTTCCTGCTATGGCGACCTTGCCAATCGCGCCTCGTCGCCCCCGCTTTCGCCGAGTCGGCGGGGGAGGGGGCCCAGAGCATCTGGCACAGCGTCAAGCGGAAGTTGCTCATCGCCGCCGCCATTCGGTGTTTGGTCTACGCGGGCCTCGGGCCGGGCTGGCTTGACCAGGTGGTGGCCACTGATGCTAGCCAGACTTGTCTTGGCGCGCGCGCTGCCGAGTGGGCGCCCGCAGTCGTCCGCCTCGCGGGTCGCCAAGACGCGCGCAGAAGGTTCAATAAGGATCCGCACCGCAAGCATCGCGAGGTGCCTTGTCGACAGGGGCGGCAACCTCGTCTACGACGGAGGGGGGCATGCCTGGCTCTCCTACGACGACTTCCCAGACATGCAGACCTTTGCCGCCACGGAAGCGAAGTGGGCTGTGGTGGCCAAGAGGCCCTGCGGGGGGCACGAGGGGGCCATCCTCGTCAAGGAGGCGCGCGGCGTCAAGCTGGGCTTCCAGTACATCGTGCGATGTGGCCGCTGGCGTCACAGCAAAGTGCTCATGCTGGTCGACAACGCGGGCCTCGTACTTGCTCTTCAGAAAGGCAGGTGCAGGGGCCCCGCGCTGCACGGCCAACTACGACAGACGGCGGCCCTTCAGCTCGCCACAGGACTACGAGCGCAGCGCCGATGGATACCATCCGAGGTCAATCCCGCCGATCGTCCTACTCCTGCATGGCGTCCTCATCCTGGGCTTGCTCATCCCGATGCCCGGGGCGACTGCCAGGGCGCCCGCGGCCAGACGGAGGCCCGCAGCAGGGGTCGCGTCGCGCAACGTGACTAGGCGCCTGGAGGTGGAGGCAGCGCTGCCAGCTGGGAGACTGGGCTCGCGCGCCTGGGAGCCGCTGCCGCTGAAAGGGCGCAGGGCCAGGACTATCCGAACTACCTGTCCTGCCCCGCCCCCCGGGCGACGCCGGCAGGGTTTCGCGGTGGCTCGCGGAGATCGCCTCTCACAACTTCGACGAGGCAGGCTGCCGCTCGGTGCTCAGCCAGCCGCGGGGGCATCTCGTGCCTAGAGAGCATCGTTGTCAGGCCAGTGCGGATCGAGGACTACAGCTGGCGCGTCGAGGACTTCCTCGAATCCGCCCGCCGCCACGACTTGAGGGTCACCACCCTAGACTGCTTGGGGGAGGCCCTGCTGGAGTGGGCCGACCAGGCGTACTTGGACGGCAGGAAGAAGCACGACGGGGAGAAGCTGGAGGCAGCTGTCCTCCACTTCGACCCGAACCTCAAGAGGCCCAACACCAAGCCGCTGGCCAGGTTCGAGAGGTCCCTCAAGGCGCGGGGACGACGGCGGCCAGCACTGGGTCGGTTGCCACCACCGTATCCGACCGTCTGCGGGCTTGCTATGGCCCCTCACCTCATGGGTCGCACGGATGTGGCCGTGGCCGTTCTGGTCGCGCTCAGCGCCTACTTGCGGCCCGGGGAGCTGCGTGGCCCCGCTCTCGCGATGTCGTCCCACCCGCAGTTGGCTTCGGGCCGGCCCACCAGAATTGGTCGCTCATCTTCGGGCCCTTGGACGACAACGGGGACCCGACCAAGACAGGCGTGTGCGACGACAACGCGACGCTGGACCACGATAACCTGCAGTTCTTAGGCTACTTCTTCGAGCAGAACCGCAGCGGGAAGCAGCCGGAGGACCAGCTCTGGGCGTTCTCGCAGGCGGAGCTCGGGAAACTCATCGCAAAGGCCGTGAAGTTCTGCCACCTCGAGAAGATCGGCATCGTGTCCTACAGACTGCGGCATGCAGGCCCCTCCTGGGACGTGATCACCGGCAGGAGATCGCAGTTGGAGGTTCAGAGGCGCGGACGGTGGGCCAGCATTAGCCCACTGATCAGATGCGAGAAGTCAAGCAAGGTCGATGCCATGCTGGTGGAGCTGCCGCCGGACGCCCAGGAGTACCTCAGGCTCTGCTGCTCGCACCTTGGCGACTCCTCCTCGGCGGGGTCCGAGGACCCCGACCGCCTGGCTGGGAAGCGGTGGCGTCTTCCTGGACATCTTCGCCGGGACCGAAGGGATTGGCAAGGCAGCCGGAAGGTGCGGCATTTCGTCGTTAGAGATCGAGCTCGAGCTCGGCGCCGACATTTTTGCGCTTGGGATCATGCCAGCGCTGCTGAAAATGATGCCCCGCCCCCGCCCAAGGGCAGAAAGGGCGGGGGGCGGGGAAGGGGGGGCAGGTGAGCCCCCGCGCTGTTTGACCGAGTCGTGTTACCTGTTGTGCGACGACACCGAGCACGTCGTCACCTGCGCATTCTGGCAAGGCTCTTCCGGAACGCGCCGTGCGTCATCCAGCTGTTTCACTCAGTCGTGCAACCTGTTGCACGACGTCACCGAGCACGTCATCACCAGCACGTTCCGGTCAGGCTCTTCCAGAACGTGCTGTGCGTCATCCGGAAATTCCACGGGCCAGGGTACCGTTTCAGGTTACTGTGGCAGCTGATTTAACTGCCTGGAGGGCCCAGGCGCGAGATCACTTCAATCGTGAGTCTCACCGTCTGGACCTCGGCTTGCACCTCACTGAGGACCTGCATTCTTGCCGAATAAGCACGGCATGTTGTTCCGGGAATTTCCTGGTCTGCGATCGTCAACTCACTTGCTTGGAGATAGAGCACGCGATGTGCTCCTCATGGCTGTTCCTGAATTGCGGTGCGCCTCGAGGTGGGTGCGCGAGAAGGATGAGATCAGCCGGCGCCGAGGACCAGCACTTCGGTTCGCAGAATTCGCTGCAGGCGAGATTTGGACTTCCCTCACGATCATGGACGGTGGAGGCGCGGCGGCACCAGGCGGTGCTGTCTGGGCCCCAAGACGAGGCGCTGCAGCTCATCGTGGAGGGCGTGCTGCACTTTGTGGGCCCACCGTTGAAGATGATGGTTAGACCTGATTTTAGAATAATTACTGGTCCTGGGCCTGTCAGCTACTCCGTCGACCCCGAGGTGCGAGCGTTGCCTTTGAAGCTGGGCGAGCTGGAGTCGAGCTTGCCAGACGCATCCGCGGCAGGAGAGTTGAAGGCCACCGCCTGTGTCTCAGAGAGCATCCGAGTTTGGCTGGAGGAACCTCGTCTCGCTCTCCTTCCCCGAGATGGCCTCCAGAGGTGCCGAGAGCACGAATTCAAGTTGAGTCAAAGTCTGACTGGTACGAGCTGGCCGCCCACATGGTGAAGCTCGGGATCTTGGCGCGCATTGACGACGCAAGTAGGGTGTTCACCGTCGATGGCGCGCCGGTGGCCCAGGGGGCTTTTGCGGTCAGCAAGAAAGGCAAACCTGGCAACGAGCAGGCAAGAATCACGCTTTTTATCGTGACTATGATCCCGACGAACTCATACTTGAAGGCCATCTGCGAGGATCTGGGCACTCTCACACCGTCGCCTTCATGGTCGAGCCTCGTCCTCGAGTCAGGGCAGGCGCTTCTGGTCGAGCGACGACCAGAAGGGGGCGTTCTTCCTGTGGGAGGCCCCCGAGGCATGGCAAGCATACGTGGTCCCGGGCGAAAAAGTGCCAGGGCATATGGTGTGGGCCCCAGAGAGGGCGTGGACGCACGTGCGCTCCATCCGACGCTGGCGGGTGCGCGGCCAGCAAAATGTCGCCCCAGTCACTCCAAGGGCTTCATGGGAGCGTCGGAGGAAGCGAAACAGAGATGGGCATCATATAATTTACGCCACCCACGTGGGATGCTCTGACGAGGCAAGCCTTGTCAGGCGTAAGATCGGACAGCTGCGGTCCCCCGTGCCTGTGAACGCGAAACGTTGTTGGGCTTCGATCGTCGCTGCACGCCGGTAACTGGCAAGTCACAATCGGATCCATCGGCGGAGCGGGATAGATGCTTCGCTATGCGTAACAGTTTCTCTGTGTACTCTGTCGCATGGATCCTGCAGCACCTCTTTTATGGCTCAAGGATACCTGCAGGGGCTTGCACCAGGGCAGTGCCGGCCGCCCTGGTGCGACGACCCAGCTTTCGATCAGCGTGGGCCAGACGGCGGCGACCCTGCCGGCGGATGCCTCGCGAAGCACTACCTGGCCGTGTCAGGGAAAGGTGGGTGCAACATGCGACTGGACGTGGGGGCGCCGCACCGAGTAAGGGCATGGCCGAGAGCAGCGGTGCAAGTCCAAAGCCGGCGCTGGAAGGTCGCGTTGTCCTACGTGCGGCAAGGCCGCGAGGACGGCCGCATTAAGTTTTTTGGGGCTGGAGGCCGCCCTCAATTCGATCAAGTGGAGATCGCGAAAGAGCCAGAGGATGCACGCGCGGTTCTTCCACTTGGTCGACAGTGAGGTCACCGCGGCGATCCTGACAAAGGGTCGGACTGCGAGCCGCCGTCTACGGCAAGGTGCGCCAGTGGTCCGCGCTGTGCCTCGCGTGCCAGTTCTACCCGATGGGCGTGCACGCGGCGACAGACGACAACCCGGCCGACTTACCGTCGCGACGCCGATGGAGACCGCGCTGAAGAAAAAGGCCAGATGCCGACAGGCAGCGCGCGCAAAGTGGACTTCCCAGATGGCTGGGAGAGGCGCCTCGAAAGTCGCCAATCCTCGCTTCCAAAACTTGAGAGAATTTCGGCGACCGCGATGAGACGATATCGCACTGCTGTCAAGAAATCATTGGACTTTCGGCGGTCCGCAGGCCTGTCGCCCTGTCGCCTAGCGGCGCGTTCGAGTTCGCCCAGCGGGCGGCATGGTATGTTCAGGATCGCTGGAGCCATGATGCAGCCCCAAGCGAGGCGACCTATGCCGTTGCAGGGCTGCAGCACCGTCTGCCAAGCATGAAAGGGAAACTGCAGTTATCTTGGAGTCTTGTTGCCACGTGGAAAAGACATATACCTGTGCGACGAGCCCTGCCGTGAATGCCCCTGCTTGCCATGGGCACCGCGGGCGCCGCGCTGGAGCTGGACATGCTGTGCTGCGCCGCCATCATCTGCGTCGGTTTCGATTGCATGTTGAGGGCCGCCGAGCTCCTCCAGCTTGATCGGAGGTCTGTGGAGTGGGCGCGAGATCGCGCAGTGCTGCGGCTAGAGGACACAACAATTTCAGTTAGGACAGTCCGCGTTGAAATGGCGATTGTGAATTCAATGTTTGCGAACAGCTTGCTCAGGATGAGAATGTAGGAGGTGTCGAATGATGGGCATGCACGCGTGCTTCCTTTCACGCACAATGATGTGCGCACAGGTCTGTCGCGGCTGCTGGCAATTATCGGTCTGAGTCCGTGCCGATTCTCCCCTCACTCGCTCAGAAGAGGGGGTGCCGCTTCAGACTGTGTAGTGCATGGCACGCTGGAGCGCACAATGGCCCGAGGTTGGTGAGGTGCACAGCAAACCGTGCGCATATACATAGATGGGGCCATGGCAGACATTGTGCTCCTGACATTGAGCGATTCCCAGAGGGAAGAGTTCTGGCTTGGTAGTTGAAGATTGCCTGCCAGCTTTCGACGCAATATGTAGAGTAAATCGGCTTTAGCCATTTTGGGGGGACGTGGAAGGCAGCTGCAGCCCCCAGAGGGCTTGGGCCCCCAAGGTTTGCGGGTGTGGGGCGGGGGCCCTTTTTTGCCATCGGCGCGGATGGTCACCAGCGCGTTCCGGCAAGGTGCTGCCGGAACGCGCTGTAAAGGGGTTTGTTTCCCCGTCGGCCCAGCAATGATCGAACATGAGCAGAATTTTTGGAGGAGGTTTGCTCCTCATGGGCCTCGAGGGGCTCTCCTCGGTGAGGCCCCCGCTCCAAGGCGCGATGGCTGCTTACTGCGTGGTCCGAAGGAGGCCTAAACATTTACGTGGGGTCTCTTGTGAACAATTGGCGACGATCGCAGGAACAAAAACGATGGGGGCAAGGGGGGAGTGGCTGTCAGTCCTTCATACAGCTATCTCCCCCTCCCCTACGTGCTGCCTGCCGCCGCCGTTTACTCACAAGCCTCCTTCTGCCTTCCACCTCCCGCCCCTTTCTCCTTTTTCGGTCGTTTCGCCATGGGCATCGACCGAACGGAAGGCAGCTGCAGCCCCCAGAGGGTTCTGGGCCCCCAAGGTTTTCGGGTGTGGGGCGGGGGCCTTTTTTTGCCATCGGCGCGGATGGTCACCAGCGCGTTCCGGCAAGGTGTTGCCGGAACGCGCTGTAAAGGGGTTTGTTTCCCCGTCGGCCCAATGGTGATCGAAAATGAACAAATTTTGGGAGGAGGTTTGCTCCTCATGGGCCTCGAGGGGCTCTCCTCGGTGACGCCCCCACTCCAAGGTGCGATGGCTGCTTGCTGCGTTGTCCGAAGGAGGCCCATAAATCTATGGGGAATTTCTTGTGAACCATTGGCGACGATCGCAGGAAAAAATGATGGGGGCAAGGGGACATGGTTTTTTGTTAGATTCAAGTCGAATGCTTTTAGAAGGGCGGGACAGAGGCCGAAGCTTGCTTCCCGTAGCCTTCGGCTTTCGAGTTCCCACCCTCCTATTCCTGTCTTTCGCTGCAGAGCTTTGCCGTGGCCTTGGGGTCTCACGGCAGAGGAGACCTCGGTTTATGTAGTCGTCGCTGCGCCGGGCCCCAGTCAAGTCACGGTTCAGGCTCTTTGCGCTCGGACATAATCCGGCTGGCTTCAGGGAAACCAGCTGCGGGCATGATCATGACGATGACGATGCTGATGGTGCTGGTGGTGATGCTGCCGCTGCTGATGCTGATCATGCTGTGATGCTGCGACTGATGCGGATGATGTGGATGAGGAGGAGCACGAGGAGGAGAAGGAGGGGGACGAGGAGGAGGAGGAGGAGAAGGAATGTCGTCACATGTGGTAGCTTTTGCCTCCACGAGTCGAAGATCGTCCCGCTCGTTCGGGCCTTCTTGGGGCTGCCCGGGCCTCCTGCGTCGTGCGGCAGTCTCTGGGGGGGGTTCCTGGGGCCGTCGTGGGCCGTCGTGCGACCCTCCAGCGCCGTCCTGGCTCCCTTCGGTTTGTCCTGGGGTCCTCTGCTCGCACGGTGCCAGTCTTGAAGCCAGCGTTGGGTCGTCTTGGGCAGCGGAAGGGTCCCCTAAGGCTGCCTCGGGTCCCGCGGGAGGCCCTCTTGGGGCCGTCTTGGGGCCTCCGTGGACACCTCGGTGGCCATCGTGGGACCTCTTGGGCAGTCTTGGGGCCCTCTCGGGGGCTTCTTTGGCCGTCTTGGATCCATCGTGGAGGCTTCTTGGGCCGTCCTGAGTTCACGGAAGCCCGATACGGCCAGCATGCGAGAATCGTGCAACAATCAAGCGAATTCATGGATTGTGTTTTTGTTCGGGCTTTGTTGGATGTCTTTGTGTGGCCCATTTGGGGGCCTTTTTGGAGCCATATTCGGACCACCTTGGTGCATATGTGGTTGTTTGTGGGGCGTCTTGGGCCATCTTGGTGTCTTTGGTTGCCTTCATGGGCCGTCTCAGAAGGTCGGGACGCGGACTCATTCCTTTTATCAAGGGATCGTGGCCTCGGGAGGGTGGGCGATGCATGGATGTAGACGTCGGTAGGGGGGGCGTTCTAGAACATTGAGAAGCACCCTACCAGACAGCCATTGGCAGTATTCCACGCCTCGGCGTGCACAAGGCACGGTGGCGGATCACGGGAGGGAGTTCACGGAGGAGTGCGAGAGGGTGTTCCCAAAGACTTGCGCATTGCTGAAGCAGTGGTTGCCTTCGAAGCCTGGCTTGCCATGGACATCCAACCAAAATGAACAAGTCATGGTGATTAGGATGAAGCCAGGCACTGATGTGGAGATGCACAGCGGCCCAGCAAACAATATCTTGAACATCCACCTCGGCCTCACAGGTGACCTTCAGGGGGCCAAGTTGGTGGTAGCCAACCAGACGTATTCTTGGAGCAGAAGCAAGGTGATCGCGTGGGACGGCAGCTACGACCACAGGGTGCACTGCCTGGATTGCAGCGAGGATAGGGTCATCATGATGGTCCGGTACATGCACCCAGATATGAGTCCGATGCATTACAAGGGTTCTCGGCGGACCTTTTTTGAGGACATCCCGATCGAGTTGCAGTGACCGCAGCAGTTCTGGCTCTTCTCGACGTTTCATGGCGCCTAGGGCGTGTCCTCGAGTTCGGCCTAGTGGTAGAAAATCTGGACATTGACGTTCGTAGATTGGGCGTGTGCGTCATGGACGTTCGATGAACTGTGCGTTGGCGTCCAAGGTACCGACAGGAGCAATCAGTCTCCAGCTTCCCTGCGATAGGCGCCCACCGTCGAGGAAGAGCAACAAACGCACACGCTTTCGCAGGTCGGTGCGAATTTCTCGGATCGGCGCGCACCTCCCAAGTATTAGCCTTGTACTCATACAGTGAGTACCGATGTACATCGAAAGCTGATCCGGCACCACTCCGAGTCCGTCCGGGGAGTCTGATGCTGGAGCGCCCCAGAGGGCCCCAGACGGCCCCAGATGGCCCCAGGAGGCCCCAGGAGGGCCCGACGAGCACCACCGTACTGCCACGATAGGCCCAAGATGGCCCAAGATGGGCCCAAGACGGCCACTCGACGGCCCAACGCGCAAGGGAGCCCGAAGGCGGCTCTCAAGCGGCACCAGGAGGCAAAAGCTTTGGCGCCAGTTTCGCATATTCGTCTTCTTGGTCTCCAGAGGGCTCGAGACGGCCGAAGAGCCCCCGGAGATCGCTCCAACATGGCCCAATAAGCGCCCAAGAGGACCCCAAGTAGCCAAGGACGGCACAAAAAGGGGCCCAAGACTGCCCCAAGACGCTCGAAGAGGGCCCCTCGGAGGGGCTATGAACGGCCCAAGAGGGTCCCAAGACAGCCTTTCTGGGCCCCCAGACCGCCCCAGAACAGCTCCAGAAGACCCCCGAGATTGCCCTGATGGACCAAGACGACCTCAGAGGGTCCCAGAACTGCCCAGGAGGCCCCCAAATTGAGTCAAGAGTCACGGAAGAGGGTCCACCAGGGGCTCTCTATTAGTACGGCGACGGTCAGATAATCAATTCATGCATGCATGTACTTAGTATACATATACATGTATAGTTATACATACATAGATATAGACACATACATGCATACATACATATCTACATACATACGTACATACATACATAACTACATACAGACAGGCAGGCAGACATACCTATCCATCTACATGTCCCTCTTCCTGTACGTTTACAAGATGGGGGGCAGGATGAACCGTCAACCTCCCAACAACAAAGCAATTAGCCTGGCGAAGGAACCATCTCTATGCATTTGTGCGTACCGCAATTGCGAATATATGGACAGTGGCACTGGGGCACTGGGGCCTGCGATGGACAGTGGCACTGGGGCCTTCGGAGGAGCTCCCATATGGGGCCACGAAACGCGTGATGGGTGTGCCGAAATGGGTGTGGGAGACGTATGTGGACGGTGACATTGGGGCCTGCGGTGGAGCTCCATATGGGGCCACGAAGCGTGTGAGGGGTGTGCCGAAATGGGTGTGGGGGACGCACGTGGGCGGTGGTGCCGGGGCCCTCGATGGAGCTCCATATGGGGCCACGAAACGTGGGAGGGGTGTGCCGAAATGGGTGCGGGGGACGCATATGGACGGTGGCACTGGGGCCTGCGATGGATTTCCCTATGGGGCCACGAAACGTTTGACGGGTGTGCGGACGGTGGCATTGACGCCTGCGGTGGAGCTCCCTATGGGGCCACGAAGCGTGGGAGGGGTGTGCCGAAATGGGTGTGGGAGCGCATGTGGACGGTAGCATTGGGGCCTTCGGTGGAGCTCCCTATGGGGCCACGAAACGTGTGAGGGGTGTGCCGAAATGGGTGTGGGAGACGCATGTGGACGGTGGCATTGGGGCCTTCGGTGAAGATCCCTATGGGGCCACGAAACGTGTGAGGGGTGTGCCGAAATGAGTGCGGGGGACGTGTGACGGTAGCACTGGCACTGGGGCTTGCGGTGGAGCTTCCAATGAGGCCACGAAACGTGGGAGGGGTGTGCCGAAATCGGTGTGGGGGCGCATGTGCACAGTGGCACTGGGGCCTTCGGTGAAGCTCCCGATGGGGCCACGAAACGTGTGAGGGGTGTGCCGAAATCGGTGTGGGGGACGTATGTGGACGGTGGCACTGGAGCCTGCGGTGGAGCTCCATATGGGGCCACGAAGCGTGTGATGGGCGTGCCGAAATCGGTGTGGGGGACGTATGTGGACGGTGACATTGGGGCCTGCGGTGGAGCTCCATATGGGGCCACGAAGCGCGTGAGGGGCGTGCCGAAATGGGTCCGGGGGACGCATGTGGACAGTAGCTTTGGGGCCTTCGGTCCACGAAGCGTGTGGGGGGCGTGCCGAAACAGAAACATGCGGAGGGCATAGGCAGGGAGGAGGGAGGAGAGGGAGGAGGACGGGAGGAAGGCGAGATGCGGGGACCGTTGCTCCAAAACGAGGACCCGACACCACAGCATGGTCGGGAAGAGCTGACCCCCCGGGACCCATGGCCCCAGGGGGGCCGCTGGATGCTCTTGCAGGAAGCCCCCCAGGTTTGCCAGAGCTCCTGGACGCTCCTGCTGGGCCCAGGCAGCGGGCCCGAACCGGTCAGCGGGGCGACCGAACGGCCCCCCGCGGGCCCCAAGAGGCCCCAGACACCCACCAGACGCCCGAAGACGACCCAAAGAGGACCCCCCAAGAGCCTTTCGAGACACAGACGATCAGTGAGATTCCAAGGTTTTTGCTCGATGTGGGGAATGCCCTGTTCTTCGGTCGTGTGGGCGTGCGAGACCGCCCAGGAGGCCCGAAAGCCATCCCAAGACTATCCGAAAGGGCTTGCAGGCAGTCCAAGAGCCCCAAGACGGCAAAACAGCGCTCCGAGACGGCCCGAAGAGAGCCTCATGACGGCCCAAGTTGGTCCCAGTGTGCATGCACCCGACGCGTTCCAGATCGTGACCCGGTCGTTCAGGGAAGCCGCGGTTGGAAGCAAGGTGGGTTGAGGAAGCCCCCAGAAGCCCTCAGAAGCAAGGAACCCGAAAAATTGTCGTGGGCCCCCAAGAGGAGCCTCCGCAAAAAGAGCTGAGGAGGATGAGGATGAATTCGCAGGATAGGGCGAAAATGAGGAAGCGGAAGAGGAAACATGAGGGAAGGATGATGAAACACATTCTGATAACGGCAATGCCAGAAGAGGCAGCAATGAGTTATCGTTGAATTGTCTGTTGTACATTCCTGCCCATCCGCCGACTCGCCCAACTCCAAAGACCAAGGTGCATGGCGCGAAGCGCCAATGCAGTCTTGCAACAACATACATTTATAATGTTATGAAAGATGCATCTACGATATATCCGACGACCATATCGGGCTGGCAGCGAGTGATTCAGAGCCTCCTCTTTCTCCCCTCTCCCCACCCCCCTGCTCAACGTAAGACTGAGGAGAAAAGAAGGATACTTAGAAAGAATATGAGAAGAAAAGGATGTGAAGTAGAGCAAGCTAAGTTAAGGAGGAGGAGGAGGCTCCAAATCAAATGCCAGGAGGCTCCAAATCAAAGCATGTTGCTTCAGGTTCCCGGGCCCCGGGGACACTCTCCCAAAACTCACCCACCACCCCCGCACTGTTTCTTCGCCCCTGGGACCGGTGGCCCCCCCTTGGGCGCTCCCCGAGCGATTCCCCAGGCCCCCCGGGGGGCTTTTCGGACTCAGGTCGGGCATGTCCTCCCACAGGCGGAGGTGGCGTCGAGTAGCGTCTGGGAGTCGATGCGGCAGCGCCGATCCAGCGTCGACCCAGCGTCGACTTGGCGCCGATCAGCGCCGACCTGGCGTCGATTTCGCGTCGATTCGCAAGCGCCGACGGGCTGGTGTGGGAGGCTCCCGGGAGGTGCCACCGAACGCTCGGCGCGCCGCCGATGGCCCCGCCCGCGCCGTCGCCTCCGCTCGAGCCCTCCTCTGTCGGGGGTGGACAGGCCTCCTGCCCTGACACGGCGATGAAGGAATTGGCCGCTTTCGGTTCGCGAGAGGGCGTCGCGGCCCTCATTTTTGCGGGTCCAGGTCCGTCGGTTTCGGTCCCAGGCCGTTTTCATCGAGGGGAAGTTTACTACAGGGAGGTGTGTCCACCGCCGATACAGGCGGATTTTGGCGGACAAGTTAGAACTGGCCGAAAAGAAGCGCAAGAATAGTGCGTAGGAGTGAAACAATCATCCCAGGACTAGTTTCTTGTTTTTTTTCATATTCCTCCTGTAGAGGGGCACGCCCGACTTGATCCTGGACGGCCCCAGAGGTCGCAAAGGTCCGCCAAGACAGACCAACACGGCCAAAGAGGCTCCCGTATCCTACGGCCACAAGCTTGACGAAACAGCAACACGCACCCATACCCATAGGGGTGTCGGAGAGGGCTAAGGGTGCGTGTTGTCGGACGGGGGTCCCCGCTCGCACGGGAGCGTTCCCCAGGGTCCGACAACCAGCACCCATACCCTTGGCATCGCTCGGACGTGTGCATTTTTCCTTCGGCGAGTACCATCGAGGAGCATCCTTGATCATCTGGCGAAAAAACAACGCACGAAACCGAAAAAAACACAGGAATGGACGTCCGAGCGATGGCCAGTACCCATAGCCAGTCCTCCTCCCAACGACCCGCCTATGGGTGTGGGTGTGTGTTGTTCGTTCGTCAAAGGCTGGCCAGACGAGAGAGACCCCCAGGGACCGCGCGCACGGGCCCAACGGGGCCCGCGGATGCCTCGAAGGGTCAAGTTCGCACCTTCGCTTGAAGGGCTTCTGGCCCCAAGAGGCTCTCAAGAGGGCCGCTTCCAAGGGGGGCTTGTGGGGTTTCTGGGTGGCCGTCGAATGGCCCAAGTCTGCCCCAAGAGGAGCCCCACAAAGGCCACAAGGCGGAACTGAAAGCGCCCAAGAGCATGACGGCCCCAGAGACCTCGCATATTGCCCCCCAGACGGTTTCTTAAAGCGCCAGGCAGGCCAAGAGCGTCCCAGGGGGAGCCCCAAGATGCTCCGCCGGAGCACCTGGGAGCCTTCAAGATGGCCTCGAGACGGCCGAAGATTGCTGAAAGACGGCCCTCGGAGGCCACCAGTACGGCCCAGCATGGCCTCCAGACGGCCAAGACAGCTCAAAATGGCCCCAAGAGGGAGGGGTGCCCAAGAGGCCTAAAGGCCCCCACGTACCCAGGAAGCGAACTGTTTGTCGGTTCGGCCTCCTATGTATCCTCACACGGAGGCCTCTCGAGGCCATGAATTGTGTGCTGTGCTTCAGGCGCTCTAAATGCAGCGTCTTTCCCTGGTCTTGGGGTCGTCTGGAGTCATACATTTCATCAGAGTCCCAAAGCACTGCTGCACCTAAGGCGCTCTAAGTACAGCGGGTGTTCACCTCACAGGTCGGATGGTCGTCCAGCCTGCTACGATTCCTAACGCAAGCGCCTCTCGAGTGCCTAAACATGTCGGAGCAAGCGTGCACATGTGCGCTGAGAGTGCCGTTTACACCGGGTGCCCCCGCGAGGCCGCAGGGGGAGCTCCATGTAGGGCACGATCCGTGTGAGGCATGCGCCGAGTCAGAGCGGGGGGACGCCTTGCGAAGTTGCCCATTTGACCATAGGCAAAGCACCTTCTGGGGCACAATTCGCGTGAGGATTGTGCCGACCTGGGGGGGGGGGCTATGCGAACCTTGTCTCTGGGGCCGTAGGTGGTGCTCCCTGAGGGGCACGATCCGTGTGAGGCTCGTGCCGAAACTGGCGGGTGGGGCCGTTATGCGAACATTGTCTCTCCCGCTATATAGGAAGCTCCGTGCGGGACAACCGTTTTTTGGGAGGGGCCCCCACACAGGGTCCAGACGCTCCAAGCGAGGCCCGTAAATACCAGAATCGTCTTGAAGCGGATGGTTGTGTCACGCAGTTTGGTTATCAGTGTTAGTGTTCTCTTTCAGGCTGCGGATGAGGACCACACGATAATATTGAGGAGGAACATGTAGAGGGATTGAAAGTGTAGGTGGGGAAGGAAATTGATGATGCTCTGCTGCTGATGATGATGATGATGATGATGATGATGATGATGATGATGATGATGATGATGATGATGATGATGATGATGGTGATGAGACGGGATGAGGGGGGAGTCTAAGAAGGAGGGTGAAGGGAGGGCTGAGCGATGGGTTAAGGACGGGTCGGTGGGGAAGAGTACGAGGAGTATTCTCATAATGTCCTTCTGGAATGCTGGCGCCGCCAACGCCTTACTCTTTCTGACGAGGCACGCGTGAAGGAGGAGGAAGAAGAGAAGGAGTGGAGAAATGGGGAGTATGCGACCTGCGAGCTGGTGTTCTGTGCGTTCGTTCTCCTCGCTTCACTGCCCTCCCTCCTCCACATGGGTGGACGGAGGAGAGAGGGAGAAAGAGAGAGGGACAAAGAAAAGAGAGCCGGAAGGACGCAGGAGGCAGGAGAGCAGAGCGAGAGGGGAGGGACAGCGGGTTGAAGGGAGGAGCCAGAGGGAGGAGGGCATGGAGAGGAGAGGAGAGGAGACGGGGCAGAGATTGGGGAGGGCGAGTAGCGCGAGGGGTGCGAATCATGCCTGAAGCGGGTCGAAGCATCTGCAGGACAGACGCTGCGAGGCGCACCTGCCGTGTCGAGACGCTGCCCTGCGCTGTGCTAGAACCACGAGCGCGCGCGAAGCGCGCTCGTGGTTCTAGAGTGTTTGCTGCTGTGCCTCAACTGGGTCTGCGATGCCTTTCCTTTTCCTCCGGAACCCGGGGGTCCCCGGAACCCGGGGGTCCCCTCCCCCCCCCTCCGAAAATCCCCCCTCCCTGCTGGACCCCCCCCCCCCCCTCCCCTCCCCCGGCAACCCCCCACTCCACCTCTCCTAACCCCATCCGCCCCCCCCCCCCCCCTCGAAAACCGGGGGGGTCACTACCGGTTCGAACCCCCCCCCCCTCCCCCCCCTCGAAAACCGGGGGGGGGGGGGTCACTACCGGTTCGAACCCCTCCCCCCCCCCACTCACCGCCAGCAAACGACTCCCGGTCCCTACCACCGTCCACACCACATCCCCCACTGTTGTTCCCAGCACCACTGTCCTCACCACCACTGTCCCCACTGGTTCCACCACCGTCCCTTGTCCCCACCAGTGCCCCCACCACTGTCGCACTGTCCCCACTGTCCCCACCACTGTTCCCACCACGGTTCCACTCTCCCCACTTTCTCCACGGCCCCAACCACTGCCCGACTATCCCCACTGTCCCCACTGTCCCACTGACTCCTCCGCTGTCCCACTGAGCTGTCCCACTGTTCCCACCACTGTCCCCACTGTCCCCACCACTGTCCCCACTGTACCTCTGTCCCATTGTCCCACCGCCGTCCTCGCCACCGCCTTCACCACTGTCCCCACCACCACTGTACCCTCCACTGTCCTACTGTTTCCACCTCATTCCCACTGTCCCCACACCACTATCCCCACCACCACCGTCCCCACCACTGTCCACTGTCCCCACTGTTCCCACCATTGTCCTCACCACTGTCCCCACCACTACCGTCCCCACCACTGTCCCACTGTCCCCACCACTGTCCCGCTGTCCCCTCACCACTGTCCCCACCACCACCGTCCCCACCACTGTCCGCACCCCGCCATCGGTTTTCGAGGGGGGGGGTTCGAACCGGGGGGGGGGGGTGTTCGAACCGGTAGTGACCCCCCCCTTTTCATGATGAACTGGGGAGGGGGGAGGGGTTCGAACCGGTAGTGACCCCCCCCGGTTTTCCGGAGTGGGGGGGGGGGGAGGGGTTCGAACCGGTAGTGCCCCCCCCCGGTTTTCCGCCAGCAGCGGTAGAACACGCTCTTTCATCTCCCACTGCCGACCTGCCGAGGCCTCCTGCTTAGTTTTTGTTTGCCCGCGACGCCGGCCACACGGTTAAGTCGGGCCTGTCCCCCTACAGGGGGATTTCTGACGAAGAATAAAACATACCCCCAACATACTTAAAACAAATCCAAAAATAGTTTTGGGATTGTGTTTGGTGTATTGTTTGATCTTTTTGGTGTATTTTGGAAGTATTTTTTATTTGTCGTCGAAAATCCCTCTGTAGGGGGACAGGCCCGACTTAACCACAGGGTTCCCGACGCCATCTCTGAGCCCGAGGTGGGAGCTTATGTGCACAGCGGCGGCCAGGGGAGCCGATGCCCGAGGACCCCCCGAGGGCCAGTGAGCGTGGAGGTCTTTGCCCGGCGACCCCAAGGAAACACACCGCCACCGGCGCTGGGCGAGCGCACGCTGGGCCTGGGAGTCGTGTGCACGCCCGCTCGCTTCGGCCAGGGAGGCGTACACACTGTTCGTTTCTCATTCTTCGGAAGTTCTTTGATTTTTTGGGGGCCAGGATCCGTTCAGCTCTGGGCCCTCTTCCTGGCCACCGGGGGGCCAGGAACAATCAGGAACGCGCGCAGTTATAGAACTGAGCACCATGAGAAACGCACGACGTGTGTGCGCCCTCTCGCTCCGGCCCGGGAGGCGTGCGCACCGGTCCCGAGTCCCGAGCCAGGGTCGGTGCGGGCGCAGGCGTGGCGCCTCCTTGAAGGGCTGGGCGTGGCGGGTCGGGGCCTCGCGCGCGGCGCAGGCCGCCCTCGGCGGAGGCCCCGCGGAGGCAGAGCGGCGACGGGTCGGCTGGCGGAGGGCTGGCGGGAGGCGGCGGAGGCAGCAGAGGAGGAGGGGGAGGGGGGGGGGGAGGGGGGGGAGGAAGGGGAGGAGGAAGGGGGGGGGAGGAGGAGGGAGGGAGGCGGGGAGGAGGAGGAGGAGGAGGGAGGAGGAGGAGGAGGAGGAGGCGGGGGGAGGAGGAGGAGGAGGAGGAGGAGGAGGAGGAGGAGGGAGGAGGAGAGGAGAGGAGGAGGAGGGGGGAGGGGGGCGTCAACACTCTTGGGCCCATGGTTTCTGTGGTCGCCCGTGTAGGCCCCAGGGGGCCCGAAGCCATCCATCGGAGAAGAGAACCAGGTAGGGAGAAGGAGGGAAAGAAGAAGAGGAAGAAGAGGAAAAAGGAAAATAATCTCAGGAAGAACTGCCACGGACCTGAACTGTCGGACGGAGGCCATTGTGGACCTCTTGGGTCACTGCTGGACCCCTACGTTGGCGCCTCCCGCGCCGCCCCTGGCGCGCTCCGCGCGCCAGGGAGCGGGGTCCCGCGCGGATCTGCGACAGTCTATGGTGATGCTGAGGAGGGGGAGAAGGGGGGGAGGAAGGGGGGAGGAGGAGGAGGAGGGGGAGGGGGAGGGGGGGGAGGAGTGGGAGGGGGAGGGGGGAGGGGGAGGGGAGGGGAGGGGAGGAGGAGGAGGAGGAGGAGGAGGAGGAGGAGGAGGAGGAGGAGGAGGAGGAGGAGGAGGAGGAGGAGGAGGGGGGGGAGGAAGGGGGCGTCAACACTCTTGGGCCCATTGTTTCTGTGGTCGCCCGTGTTGTCCACCGTCTCCCGAGGGGCGGGAAGATCGGCTCCCCTGGCGCTGAGCAGGCAGGTGTCCCGCCCACGAAGGCAGGGTGACCGAAGGCCATCGCCTGCCTCGGCTCCAGCGCGGCTCCCTTCCCCACGCGCGCGCCGTCACCTCCTCCTCTAGGGGGACAAACAGTCACATAGAAATTAAAACTCGGAGGTCCGCGCGGATTTCTCGGATCGGCGCTGGATCCCCCTCCCTGGCGCGCGGAGCGTGCCAGGGGCGGCGCCGGAGGCGCCGCCGGGGGGCCCCAGCGCTGATCCGAGAAATCCGCGCGGACCTCCGAGTTGTTATGTTTATGTCACTTGTTGTTCCCCTATCCTCGTCCTCCCGTCTGCTCTGCCTCCTCGTGCTACTTCGCAAGCCTCAGTTCTCACCCTTCACTCCTCTGCCGCTTGTCTTCTTCTCCTCCTCATCCCCGAGTCCTCCTCCTATCTCCTCCTCCCTTCTCCTCCCTCTCCCTCACTCCTCCCATTCCTCTTCCGCGTCACGTGGCCTCCTCCATTCCTTTTTGTGTCGCGAGACGTGTCCGTAGGCCAGCCTGGACGCTTCGCCTGAGGCCTCCCTACAACGTCTTCTCGCGATGTTCAAGATCTCAACAAATTCACGGATAGAGGCGGGGGCCTTGTCAACATGAGGTTCTCGTTGTTTGCGCCGCGCACATTCCTTGTAAACGTTGGCACCAATTCTGTGGAGGAGGCTGGGTCCTTTTCAGATTGGGGCTCCCAGCATGACTGCAACACTTCCACCCATGGCAGCGGGTTATTTTTCAAGTTGGGCCACCCGCCTCAGCGCCAGGCACATTCGTCCCAAACGCTTGCAACACTCACGAATCTGGGGGCCAGTACCTTTTCAAACTTGGTTTCTCGCCCGAGACTTCCCAACCACATGTTCCCACCACGGTGTAATATGTGCAGCAGTCGCACGGACAGGGACCCGTACCCTTCCAACGTGGCGCTCTCGTCGTGGCGCCGCGCACAGTCATCGCACATCATTGCAACAGTCACCCAGATGGACCGCGTGACCTTTTCAGAATGGGGCTCCTCCTCCTCCTCCTTTTCCTCCTCCTCCTTCTCCTCCATCTCTTCCTCCTCCTCCTCCTCCTCCTCCTCCTCCTCCTCCTCCTCCTCCTCCTCCTCCTCCTCCTCCTCCTCCTCCTCCTCCCCCCCCAAAAACTATTGCAGCAGCTGCGAGGATGGAGGGCGACGCGTCTGCAATGCGGGGCTGTCGTTTTTCAGCGCCGCGCGCAGTCGTTTCAGCCCCCCGAAGGGCTCGCAGTTTGCACACGGAGCGTGGGCCAATTGTTTGAAACATTGATTATCGATGTAGCGTACATTGAGCTGTGCTAGAGACCCACAGAGGGTAATTGCAGCCCAGTGGATGAAGGCGCTCGAGGGGACTGAGCTGCAGGCTCTTCGAGGCCATCTCACAGGACGCCCCCATCATCGTAGCACGTGCTTGCAATGTAGGAGCCTGAGTCAGACAGATCCATCCGCTCTTGGTTGAAACTTTGGAAACACTGGTCCAGAAAAGGTCGTCGAGGGCGAACTTTTGAGTGATGGCTCGCCTCTCAGTGGCATTGAACGAGCGTTCTGCCCACGGATGGCGGAAACACGGCCAGAGGTGTCTGCAGTGGGGACACGGGCGGCCTGACTGTCTTCGCGCATCGGCAACACAGCCCCTGAGGAAACTCCCAAGGCGAAGTTCGCCGGCGTCCGATAAGGGTAGTCTCAGTGTTGAGAACAACCTGCATGTCGACACTTCCGCATCGACCTCCGCGTTGACTTCGCATCGTGCCTTGTACGCGTAGCTGCCTGGAGACAGCGAGCGCGGGCAATGAGCCGAAGGGCGTGGTCCACTCTCCTGGCCGTGCCCCTCGTCCTGCGCGGAACGAGTCCAGAAACAGCGGCCCCCCAGGGGGGCAAAAGAGCGTGGACTGCACGGGGCACCTGGTGGGCACCTGCTGGTGAGATGTCGAGCAAACAACTTTGGGTATCATCAGTGTTACTTCAATAGGGACCGAGTTAGGGTTTGTCTGGCTGCGCCGTCGTCGGTTTCCTTTCTGCCGAAGGGGCTAAGAGGTCCGGCGGCCGCGCCGTCGTCGGAATTCCCACCCCCTCCGTCTCGTTGAAACGCCCCGTCGTCGGATTTTCCTGCCCCTTCACATTCGTAGTACGAGAACTGAACGAAGGTAACTCCGAGAACTGAATGAAGGTAACTCCCAATACAGCCGTACACCGTCGGAGAGAGTAGTCCATGAACTCATTCCAGAGCAACTTAGGGTTGGTGACATGGATGATGGCCTGGGGAGCTGCTCCGGACGTCGGGTGTAGCTGGATCCCTTGGCGCCACCACCGTCCCTGGCACTGCCACTTCGTTTTGGTCTTCACGATGGCCTTGTGTAGGAGACGTGGGACACTTGCTGGTGCAGTTGCAACAGCCGGTGAAGCCCACAGCCACAGTGGCCTGATGAACTGCTTTCGCAAAAGTGAGGACCCTGAGCTAGATCCCAGCGTGCTGACGGCAGCAAATACTTTGTACGAACCCTTGCGCGGAGAGATGGGATACTTCACGTCCGTAGGTCTGCATATCACCCCCAAATGCTCAACCTCAACCAGGGGTGGTGGATCGACATAAGCATGCCAAACCTGCCTTTTCTTGGCATTCCCCTTGAAACCAACAACTTGATCGAAATCAGATGTGACCCGCAGGTCGTCGCGAGCAAGGTCGGCCGAGACGTGGGTAATCGATCGGTCATCCACGCAGGCGGTCCCATTGATTGCCTGCCAGGGGGCAAGCACCGCGCACAGCGTGGCAGGCGCGAGAGCGTCGCCCTGCAGTAGGCCCCAAGTGGGCCACACCGGTGGGACGAGCGTGGCCTGCCACGCTGAGGTACCGAGGGCCCATCCAGGCAGCACCTGCAGTAAAAGCCATGGCAAGAGGTACTTTGCAATGATGTAGCAGAGCTTGTTCTGCTATCTGATGGCCGAAAGCTCGAGACAGATCCAGCTCGACGCCTGCTTCAGCGTTGGTAACGTCCAGGAGCCACCGAGAATCAGCATGCGGAGTGGACGCACCCCGGTTACAAGCCCGTCGATTGCCAATCGATTGCCGATCGGGCCTGGAACAGATCTGGACAACGCGGCCAGCCAACAGCGCATGAGGAGGGAGCGACCTAGATGGGACGAATCCCGTCTTCTCCTCTGGGTATACCAGCCACCCGCCAAGCGAAAGCTTTCCCACGGCAGCTGTTCGAGATGCGGCCCTGCTGTGCAACGCAAACACTGGAAGTCTCAACCCACGAATCTGGTAATTCACGAGTGATATCAGGGTACATGAGCTTCAGCAGCTCGATCTCTGCTGCAGTCCAACCATCCATACATACCTGGGGCTCCCTTCGCACGTTCGAGCACGTACAGGAAGTCATCCAAGCCGGCACCCAGTCTGCAGGTCTCTCAGATGTAGGGAAAACCACATTGCGAGCATACCCTCTCAAGCCTCGAGACGTGCTTGTAGCTGTTCGGGCGTGTCCTGTGGGTTCCGCTGCTGTTGCCAGTCCTCACGCATCTCCTCGGCCGAGAAGAGTGGGGACGGCGTCCCGCCTCTGAAGAGAGGCGTGGTGAGCTGGTAGAGTCCATTCCATATTCTTCTGCTTTGCAATCTTCCGATGCTCAGCAGCGGTAGCTGTGGAGAGACATTCAAGAACGCCGACGTAGTTGGGGAGGCCATGGGGTATGGTGCCACAGATGCCGTCGAGCGTAGCGCGAGCGAAGTCCGCCATGTAGCGCATTTAGAAGATGTTTTGGCGAAGCACCAAGTCGTGCCGTATCGTGCTGATTAAAAGGGCCCATGCAACCGTAGTAGCCGACGCAGTGCAATTGCCTGGTGGCCTCCATGTGCACTACCTGTACCCACGTCACGGTGCGCGGGCTCAGATCCTTTTGGGCGCTCAGGCTGGCGGTCGAGACCGACGAAGCCCCGCTCGACACTCAACTTCAGCGCCGCTTCAGCACGTGTATGCCAGAGTGTCCAACGTTCTTCGCATGTCCCTTGGAGCTCATCAGCAGCATCGGCACCATACAAAGGACCCACGCGCGAGTTGAGGACGTCCTGGGGCGAGTTTCTTTCTCCCTGCGAAGGAACTTTGACCATATCATATTTCCCCGTGTGCCGTACATGCTGCCGTTGTCGCTGGAATATTGGGATTTGTATTTCATATTCCACCAAGCAATGGCGGAGAATGCCAGGTAGGAGCTGCATATTGTGATCTGCTGGTGGTAGCGCGTGAGGGCCGTAGTGCCCTGCTCTGGTAGGGGATGTCCCCTGCGCCGTAGTCGGAGCGCGTTGGGCTACAAGCTGAAAGCCAGGCCCCAGTACTTGGGCGTATGCTGGCCTCCAGCGGAAGTCCCCTAAAAGGTGCACATGGTGTCCGTTCACTCCAAGCCGTTGGATGTAGTGAAAGAGGGACGCCATCCATGCAGCATCGTATGTCTGTGGAGCGTACACAGCTGGAACAACTTGTTTGAGCAGTACGCATGCCCACGAGTCTATGACCTAGAACTCGATCACGCATGATCGCCGTGCGCCCGATGTGCGGACGCCATACAATTGCTGTACCACCAGCTTGGACTGCACACCGCGTACCCTTCGGTGGCGGAGTAGAGCATGCAACTGCCCACCCTGCCCGTCGGGCAGTGTCCGGCACCCAGCGTGGTCGTTCAGAACCCAAACGTATCTCTTGCAGCGCGATGAGGCCATTCTCGTCGTCATCACATCTGCTCAACAGTTCGAAAAGCCGTGCTCTTGCAAGGGAGGTAAACATTCAGAGAGAACTTTCATGGTACTAGAGCTATTATGCGGAGCCTTGGGGTCATCACCAGGCTCATCTCCGTCTCCAAGAAGTGGATCATGACACGAGTTGGAAGACAGTCGAAGCGTTGCCCCTGCCGGCCCACTCAGGGCCGCCGTTGGGCGCTTCAGGATCTCGAAATTGGCCGGGAGCTTGGATGTTGTAGAAGTTTGCGTTGCCGTGCTTCTTTGCGAACCTCGTTGCGACGCTCCTTCCATTCAGCATATTTCTGGGACTGGCGACGCTGCACGTGTTGGGATTTCGTCCATGCTCTGCGACGTTCGATTGGTTGCTTCACGTACCACTTGCGCACGTCGACCTTCATCTTAGCTGATCTCCGCTCGTGGGCCTCGGGGCCCAGAAGGTACCTGAGGACGTCCTTGGTGGGGAGCCCTGTGGTACGTGAGCGGCAAACTGTGTCCCTGGCCCGCGGCAGGACCTTCCTGCCACCACACCTCGAACAACAATAAAAAGGTAGAGTGCTGCTTTCCCTCAGATGCCGTGGGGGTGCTGTCCAGGGTAAGGCAACAAGGTGAGTCATGAATGTCTGTTGGGAAGAAGTTATGATACCAATCTTGATACTGTTGCCATGCAGCTCGACGTACAGCAAGGTTCCGCGCCGTCATAATTGTGGTACGGGTGCTCTCGGCGATAGGGTCGCGGGACATGTTGGGAGGCGCTTCGCCGACACATTTTCTCCAATGAATTGTAGCTTGCTGCCTGCGCTTGCAGGCACTGTTGAAGCCATCCGCCGTGGGTGGCCAACCACACGTCGGACATCGAAGATGAGCTGCTGGTTCCCCTCCTCCCCCCTCCCCCATCGCTCCTGCTCCTGCTCTTGCTCCCTCATTCTGCCGCCTCCTCCGCCTGGCACCTCTTCATCTACCTCACGAATCCCCATCCTCCTAGACGTCCTGCTCCTCTTCCTGGTCTACCCTCGTCCTCCCGGGCCTCTTCCGATTCCCCCCTCCTGCCTTACATAACAATCCTCCTCCGCCTCCCATTATTGCCCATCTCTCCTCTTTCGTCCTCCCATTGGGGCCCTCCTCTTCAACATCGCTGACCTTTCTTGTATAAGCAGTGCTACATCAATGTGCGAACTGTGCGAACTGTGCGATGTATCGATGTCTCTCTCTCTCTCTCTATAGACATAGATGTGTAGCTCCTCCCAACACTCGTCAATCTCCACCTGTGTCTTCTCCTCGGACATGCGCGGGGTGCACGCCGTGCCACCCCCCACAGTCCCAGTCGCTCTGCCAAGCGGGAGTACAGACGTCAATTCTGATTGGCACACCGACTCCAGCATTGAGGCCGAACGTGTACATTTGTAGGTTGTTGCATGCGGCCGACCTGTGTCCGCGTTAGCTGTTCGCGGGTTGCCTTGCAGGCTCGGCGCAGCATCGCGTGTGCCATCAGCGCAGGGAGCGTTGGCTTGTCATAGGCGCGCGTGGAGAAATCAGGAAGGTGTCATCCTCATCGTTATCCGCCATATCATCCTAATGCAGTTTTCCTCCATTGTCCTTCAACACGTCCAGGACCCATACAAGTAGCAGGAAACTCGAGTCTCCTTCTCCCCAAAGCTCCAGGATGCCTCCTGTTTGCTCACGAACCCACGCGAACATTGTGAACGACACACATCAGCGACCCACGCCCCCAGGAGCTGGTTCACCCCCCTCCCATGCCTCACGCATGGTGCGGCGTTTGCAGTGCAACCTTGGAGTCCCGAGCTCTCAACCCTGACCGGGGGGGCCAGCGTGTCGCGCAGGCTCTTTCCACAGCGTGCACGCGCGAAGCGCAGGCGTGGTGCTTGTGTGTGATCAGCTCAGTCACAGCGGTAAGAAGCACGGTGCACCCGAAAGGCGCGGAGGAAGGACGCCTCGATGTGGAGGGAGGAAGTGGGAGAACGTGAGACGACCAGGGGTCGCAACTATTTCGGCTCAGAGCCAGGACGTGGCCGCCCGCGCTCTCCCACCGGCAGCTTAGAAATCATGTGGAATGGAGGGCCGCTGCGATAAGCCAAAGGACGTACTTTCTCTCAGGTAGATCGGGCCCGTGGTGGTGCATTGGAGGACGATGTATCATGGGGGACGCGGGAGCGGGATCACGCGGAGGGTAAGGGCGAGGAACAGAAGGACGAGCATGAAAAATATTGGGGAGCAAGTAGGAAGGAACGAGGGAGGGGGAGAGGAAGGGAGCAGGAGGAGAAGGAGGAGAAGGAGGAGGGGGAACGGGAGGGGGAGGACGAGGAGGAGGGAGGAGCATGGAGGAGGGGAGAGTAATGTGCGAGGACCTTCGGGCACCATGGACTAACGCACGCTCAGTCATGGGTTCCACGATTCCTCGCGGAGGTGGCCGCATCCCGCGGCCGCGCATCTGGGGACGCGTCTTGTTTTTTCTGAACGCGGCTCCTCTTGCTCCGGGGGCCAGTTTTCCATCCCGAGCCGTTCTTTCGCAGCTCTGGATCCTGCCAAGGGCCCGCCCGGAAGCCGAAGACGGCAAAGCAAGTGTGCGCCGTGTTCCGGCGGCCAGGTGCTCTGCCACGAGCACGGCTGGCGCTCCGACCAGAGACGTCCAGGATCGGCGTCACCGCAACAGACTCATACTATATGTGCGTCGCCCTGCAGGGTCGACGCGCGCACCGAGAAATCTCATAGTATATGCGTCTTGGCGGGCGCTTTCTGGCCACACCGCTCGGGAAACGATATCTTACAAGATGGGTATACTTTACATTCGGGTCGGACGCGCGCCTCCCAGGAGAACATACAGTATTAGTATGTCTTTGTGCGTCCCACGGGAGGACCAGAAACCTGAGGAAAGGCGACGCTCTGTGAGGGAGGCAGACATTCTATGGGTGAGGGGCGTGGGTGGGTGGGGCATCCCGCTTTGTAGAGGTGTATGAAGAGCTCGGGATCGCAGTCCTGGCAATCTACAACTGGATGTGTCAAGCCGTGGCCCCATCCCAAAAAGGCTCATCTCGACGCGGGCAGGTGCTCTTGCCACGAACACGGTTGGCGCTCCGACCAGAGACGTCTTGGAGGACCAGGAATTTGAGGAGACGCGACGCTCTGTGAGGGAGGCAGACAATCTATTGGTGAGGGACCTTAATGGGTGGGTGGGGCATCCCGCTTTGTAGAGGTGTGTGAACAGCTCGGGATCGCAGTCCTGGCAATCTACAACTGGATGTGTCAAGCCGTGGCCCCTATCCCAAAAAGGCTCATCTCGACGCGGGCAGGTGTTTTTGCCACGAACACGGTTGGCGCTCCGACCAGAGACGTCTTGGAGGACCAGAAACTCGAGGAGGCGCGACGCTCTGTGAGGGAGGCAGACAATCTATTGGTGAGGGACCTTTGTGGGTGGGTGGGGCCTCCTGCTTTGCAAAGGCGTATAAATTAGTTCGGGATCGCAGTCCTGGCAATCTGCAACTGGATGTGTCAAGCCATACAGTCGACCCAGATTAGTAGGTCGACCCTGCCAAGTCAAGGGTGCCCTTGTGTCCTGTGTCTCGCGAGCCATGCTTCCTTCATTCCTGTGGCAATGTGGCCCTCGGAAGGGTCTTGTGTCCTTTCGCGTGTCCTGTCCAATCGAGTCCGAATGTAGCGCCATCCAAACAAAGGCTCACCTTCACGCGGGGCAGCTGTTTACACTAGTATTGCTCGCGCGTGTTATTTCTCCCGCTCTCCTCGCGAGCGCACGTGGTGCGATGCGGCACAGCGCGCGTGGCAGTGCGCGGGCGCGGCCCAGAGCTGCATTCGTGGAATGCCAGGGGCGACCAAATCTCAAGCGAGAGCTCATTTTTCAAAACGAATCGGCATCCATCCCTGTCAGTGTCGAAAAGCGCTCTCGACGAATGCGCATGGCACTGGGGGATGAGCAGCATTCGGGAAGCGCCCCGCCCTTCCTCTTTGGAACTGCTGGCTACTGTTGCGACGAATGTACGCAGCGCGGAGGCGGGAACAACATTCCGATCACCGCCCGCATTCTATGATCACGGTAGTAGTTGGGAGCGCACAGTCAGAGCCCCGAACCATCAGGGGTAATTCGGGTCAGGGATTGTTCGGGTTCGTGTTTCGGGAATCCAAACCCGAGTTACCCCGGACCCGAGTTACCCCGGATAATTCGGGCGTCCAGAGCCCCGAATCATAAGGGGTAATTCGGGTCAGGGCTAACTCGGGTTCCTTTTTCGGGAATCCAAACCCGACTTACCCCGGACCCGAGTTACCCCGGATAACTCGGGCGCCCAACACAGCGCGAATGTGTGTGGCGCGAAGGAGAGAACCAGCTATTGTGCAAGACATACCTCGAATCGTTGAAAAGCGGATTCAATACAACAGAGCGTAGTGAATCGTCGGAGCAGGGACTGAATCTGGTGTGTGCTTGCTTTGCGAAGGGGTGAAAAACAAAACAAACAAAAAATAACCTCCAATCGTTGAAGCTTGTGGGCCATAGGAGGGTCTCCGACGCGGTGCCCAGCTCGCCCGATGTCGAAACGTCTGGAAGTGCGACGAGGAGGGGCCACTCATCAGAAAGAGAGGCCAAGGGAGGAGGGAGGAGGACCAAGAGGATGAGGAGAAGCAGGAGGAGGAGGAGAGGGAGGTTGAGAGGGAGGAGGAGGAGGGGGAGGAGGAGGAGGCGGGGAGGAGGAGGAGGAGGAGGAGGAGGAGGAGGAGGAGGAGGAGGATGAGGAGGAGGAGGAGGAGGAGGAGGAGAGGAGGGAGGGAGGAGGAGGAGGAGGATGAGGAGAGGAGGCAGGAGGAGGAGAGAGTAGGAGGAGGAGGAGGAGGAGGGGGAGGAGGGGAGGAGGAGGAGGAGGAGGAGGGAGGAGGAGGAGGAGGGAGGAGGAGGAGGAGGAGGGAGGAGGAGGAGGAGGGAGGAGGAAGAAGAAGAAGAAGAAGCAGAGGAGGAGAGGGGAGGAGGAGGAGGAGGAGGGAGGGGGAGGAGGAGAGGGGGAGGAGGGAGGAGGAGGAGGAGGAGGAGGAGGAGGAGGAGGAGAGGAGGAGGAGGAGGAGGAGGAGGAGGAGGAGGAGGGGGAGGGGGAGGGGGGGGAGGGGGAGGAGGAGGGGGAGGAGGAGGAGGAGGAGGAGGAGGAGGAGGAGGAGAGGAGGAGGAGGAGGAGGAGGAGGAGGAGGAGGGGGAGCAGGAGGTGGATGAGAAACGGAGGGGCTGCAGGAGGCAGGAAGCCAAGAGGTGAGGAGCAGACTTTGCCAGTTCTGGATCGTTCTGGCACGCTCTGAGAGCCTCCCGGAACGCTCTGAGAAGGCCGCGGCGCCCGAGACACCATGCAGAGCCGCCGGATCTCAGAGATTATCGATGTGTCCTCACCCGCGTTTATTCTCGTCCTGGCTCCGCCTGAATACGGAGAGGGAGGGCTGGACTGAGGGGTTGGCCGGTGCAGCGGGGAGCTGGAGGACGGAGATGATTGGCCGGCCGTTGGTTCTTCATTCTCTTTTCATCTTGTTGATCTCCCGTTTCCTCTTCCATCGTATCCCTTTCTGCACAACTTCTTATTTTTCACCGACGGGGGGTCGTTGGCGATGTTCGGCCTCTGGGGGCCCTCGCTGGGCCCCGGGACTGTCAAAAAACGACTCGGGAGGAGCAGCTGGTCCAGGGGGAAATGACTCCAAACCCAAAGAGCAACGTTGCGAACAACAACGCGACGGAGGATGTCTGGGTGACAATGTTTGTTTGGGCCTCCGCTTCCCCACCTCCTCTTCCGCATCCTCTTACTTCCTCTTCTTCTTCGGATGAGGGGGGGCGGGGGGACGAGAGAGAGGCGAGAGTGGCGAAGAGGCTGGGTGGCAGGAGCATTTGGAGGGCAAGGAGAGAAGGAGACAGGATGGATGAGCAGTGGGAAGCGAGGGAGGAGGCAGAGTGGAGCGCGTCTCCAGGAGTCGCGTGGTGCGCCATCGCGCGCAGCACGGCAGCATGAAGCTTCTGCAGACCGTCAAGCGCCGCATGAGTCGCTCGGGTTCTCCTCCCGAGCGCTGCAGATCGACTCGCAGAGCCTGTGATCGATTTTTCGTGCATCCCTTTGCCAGCTTTGGTTTCGCCGCGCTGATCCCCAGAGGTCTGAACCAGTACCGGGACTGGTTTTTCATCCCGAGCCGTTTCTTCACCGTCTGGGGCCCTTGTGAGGGCCGCTTGGAGGCCCAAAGTGGCCAAACATTCGTTGGTATCTTAGGGGGGCCGTGCATGTTCTGTACATGGCGGTCCTTTTCTGGTGTCCTATCCGACGTGATAATGTTCGATGCGGGTTCGACCCGGATTCGACGTGCATTCGACGTGGATTCGGGGATCTCGCATAGATTCGGAAAGTGTAGGGCCCCCGAACGGGTACGCAAAGGCAGAGAATGGTCCTCCGCTTTTTTTCAACGATGCGAGGATGCCAGCGTCCGCGAAGAGCACCGCGCTTCGCTCGCCGCCGCCCCGGCCAGAGCGGTTGCCCTTCTCCAGGGGGGGCGATTTCATTGGCCGTTTGCGTTTCGATGTCGTTTTGTAGCAAGACAAAACGATCGAAAACGAAGACACTTCGACAACGAGCAGCACTGTTTAGGTCGACCCTTGGGGAGGAGCGAGGCCCTGAGATCACAGCGTTACCCTACTACTTCTACTGCTACG